GACTAAATGCCAAAGGTGCACAGAACACTGTTACCTTCCCACCAAAGGTGGTCCCTATTTTTCTACTTGCATTTTTTTACGTGCTTTCGAACTGTTAGGTTGGCAGAAGCTGGGACAAGTAACGGGAGCTCACCCCATTACACAGCACTAGGGATTCGAACCGCTGAACTGCCAACCTTTCGATCGACAAGCTCAGCATATTGACCCTAAAAAATAAATTTTGCTCTAAGCTGAACACATCGAGGGAAAATGGCCCTGTTTTTGATCCTGACAATGTAGTTCCAAGTGTTGATATTAATGTGAATATGATAATACTACTGCAACATGACAATGAAGTAAAAACTATAGGAAGTTAATACTGAGGGCATGTTAATGCAACCTGAGTTATTAGTTACTTCATCTCCCAACTGTCCTCTTTTTATGGAAAGTTCAAATACAGTTCCCCAACTGACTCAGTATAGTTCAGGTCAATGACTCTATCAGTAGTAAAGGAAAAGCCAATATTCAGAGTATATCTTTTAATAAATTTAATAAAAACTGAGTTTTTCCTGGCTTTGAAATAGTGTTGCATATCTGAGTCCTGACTCAAATCCAATCTTTATTTAATTTTCTCCAACCCTTGCTGAATATATGAATTTTCAATATGCTCTAAATTTTCTGAGAAATGAGTGAATTCCCTTGACTAGAAAAATATATGCATCTGGTCAAAGTTGACAGCACATATACAGACAGAAGCAATAGTTTAATGTAACAGTTCATTAAATGTGTAGTTGCCTGCATTGAATCTTGAAGAACAGGTCAGTTCCCCATGTTGATGGGTAAGCATAAATCTGGAATGAAAAATCTTGGATACTGTGCAAACACTCTGAAAAAATTGCATTGCTTTCTCTTTCCACCTTCAACTTCATTACAAAGCCAACATAAACTACTGTTTTCATATTTCTCACAGGAGTAATATGTCCAAATTAGGGACTTAATCATTATTAATTCCTTTGATATTTATCAACCGCATTAACATTAATCATGATAAACACTTCTAGTATTAATGTGGATGTCATTAATACAGCACTTCAAGTGTTTGTACGGCTGCTCAGCCTTCATTAACCGGACCATTAGTTGCAAGGTGTTAACTTTTTTCATGAAGAACATTGTGTTTGTTATAGTGATATTTTGATGTATTTTTAAAGTCCTGTGGATCCTTTTCTACTGTGGTTTACAGTACACTGTGCAAAGCTTCAAAAGAATGCCTTGCTTTGAAATCAGTAATTTCCTTCAGGATGTTTTGGAAAACAAAATTGCTTTCTTTTTTTCTAAAAGTGAAGCTGCTGCATTGCTTATGGATTGCTACGTTTGGCAGATCCTGTTGCCATCCTGTGCACGTATTCTGTCTGCATAGGAACATTCTGCATTAAACATACCCAAGGAGTCCCCATAAACTAAAGAAAAGTACCACCATAGAATGAATTATATTATTGCCAAACTTTAAGGAAGCAAATATTGATTCCTTCAATACACAAAATGCCTTTTCAAGGTAACAAGGTGACATCTTCCATATGGTTGTGCACCCATGGATTCTATTCTATTCTATTCTATTCTATTCTATTCTATTCTATTCTATTAATGCCTTGGTAGGGCCACACTTGGAATACTCCAGTTTTGGTCACCACAATGTGGAAGAGATGTTGGGACTCTGGGGAGAGTGCAGAGAAGAGAAACAAAGATGATTAGGGGACTGGAGGCTAGAACATGTGAAGAACGGTTGCTGGAACTGGATATGTCTGGTCTTACGAAAAGAAGGACTAGGGGTGACATGATAGCAGTGTTCTGATATGTCAGGGGCTGCCACAAAGAAGAGGGAGTCAAGCTATTCTCCAAAGCACCTGAAGGCAGGACAAGAAGCAATGGATAGAAACTAATCAAGGAGAGAAGCAACCTAGAACTAAGGAGAAATTTCATGACAGTTAGAACAATTAATCAGTGGAACAACTTGCCTCCAGAAGTTGTAAATGCTGCAACACTGGAGATTTTTAAGAAGAGATTGGATAACCATTTGTCTGAAGTGGTGTAGGGTTTCCTGCCTGGGCAAGGGGTTGGACTAGAAGACCTCCAAGGTCCCTTCCAACTCTGTTATTCTATTCTATTCTATTCTATTCTACTCTACTCTACTCTACTCTACTCTACTCTACTCTACTCTACTCTATTCTATTCTATTCTATTCTATTCTATTCTATTCTATTCTTAAAGATCAGGCCTGTGCAAATCAACCCTAATTTTATTTGAATTAAGAATACAAGAGTCAAAAGGGCATCTTCATACCAATTAGAGCCAATTCAAGATTTGTTCATCAAAGTTATTGTTTAGGGGCCATATTATTTGTTAGAAATTTAGGAGAGGGAGTGGGATGGGGTAGAATGTCACAGAGATAAGCAATCCTGAGAATTTGAGCCAGCAAAGTGTTAGCCTGATGTCCATTTCACTCATCGTCTAGAGATTTAAACCTGTTACAATCGTGCAACATGAAGTATATTTAGAATATTGAGATCCCAGTTGGTTTGACAAAAAGCCAGCAAAGAACTATAACATTCCATTAGTACAATGGAGAGAAAAGTAAGGGCATATGTGTTAAAGAAGGAAATGAATGGTGCCAAAGTAACCTTAGTCTTGCCACCTCAAAAACAGCTCTGTTAGTCAAAGAATGTAATGAGGTGATAAATCTTAATGGACAACTGCTTACATCAGTATCAAAGAGGATACCATAATATTCAAGAGCTCCTCACTAGTCTTCATATATGGAATTTAAGTTGCAACGTTCTATTTTGCTGAAAGCAGCAGAAAAGCTTTTGAATCTTCAGAATGCTTTGGGAGCCCTTGGATTTCACTTACCGCTTTGAACAAAGCTTTCGTTTTGATTGACAGCTCTGCTTCAGTGAGGTGATCTGATCAATGTTTCTTTCAAACAAGCCAAACAAAGCTTCCTAGAGTGCAGCATTCCCCAACTTGGTGCTCTTCAGATATGTTAAAGCCTGCATGGCATGGCAGCTGAGGGATGATGAGAGTTGTTGGCTGAAGCTTCTGGAAGGCAGAAAACTGAATGGTTAATATACAGTAGATGAATACTCTCCACTTAAATACTTTCATGGGCAGAAATTATCAGGGCTCCTGGTAGTTCTCACAAATGAAGGCAAATATACATGGCCCAGGATAATATTGCAGGATCCAATCTGGGTCATTCACGGGACCAGAAATTTAGTCTTACAAGCTTTTGGACTCATGCTGGAGCCCATCCTCAGGGAATTTTTCTGTACCAGAATGTTTGCTTTGAGCTATTCTCTGAGTCACATTTATGTAGTGCCTGGTTGGTTCTGGCTTCCTATTGGTTGATTGGGGTGTTGATGGTTGACTATTGGCTGTTGTTTCCTTGTGCTGCCAAGTTCTAGAGTCCTAACTATTTGATAAACTGGTGGTAAATCAGCATTCCTGTTGACAGACGATGGGCCCATTTCCCAGGCTTCAATCATTTCCCTGGTTATCCATATAAATTTTTCTGTACATAGATTCTGATAATTGGAGAAGCCAGAGATCAATTCTAGGGACATCACAAACAATATTTTTATTATTTATTTATTTATTTATTTATTTATTTATTTATTTATTTTCATCAAGCATGTATTTTATGACAGATACAAGTGTAAACATAATTATAAATACATGAAAAGGATACGAATAAAAGAAAATATTAGGACAGGGACAGTAGGCACGCTGGTGCTCTTATGCACGCCCCTTACAGACCTCTTAGGAATGGGGTGAGGTCTACAGTAGACAGTCTAAGGTTAAAGTTTTGGGGATTTGGGGAAGAAACCACAGAGTCAGGTAGTGCATTCCAGGCGTTGACAACTCTGTTACTGAAGTCGTATTTTTCTGCAGTCTAGTTTGGATCGGTTTACCATGAGTTTGTATCTATTGTGTGCTCTTGTATCGTTTTGGTTGAAGCTGAAGTATTCATTGGCTGGTAGGACATTGTAGACATTGTAGATATTGGAATCCATTGCCATACATGAAGAAAGATTTCATGACAGAAATTAGGAATCAAGCATTTATTGAGCTTAAATTATTTCTGTCTTATTCATGTTGACTCTGCCATCCTTGACTCTCCTACGAGAACATTCCCCCTGTTCTCCTGCTCCTTCACCAATGAAAAAAGCATAAGATTGTGACATATAGATCTGCAGTACCACTTAACGCAATACAAATACACGGGATGTCAAAATCATTCCTCGTGGGCCAATTTCACTGGCTATCATACCCAATTCTTTTTTAAAATGGAATTATGCTTGAAGCATTTGAATGGCCCCCTATGGAAAAAAAAAATGGAGTGTAGCTGCCTTGTGGTTGTGTTTGTTGTTTTAGGGTTTTATTTATTGCACCAAAAGTAATTTAAATTTTGGTTTCTTTCTTGATGAAGGTGCATATATTACATTCCGCTATGTACCATTATTCTTTCAAAATCTCTCCAGATATAATACGAAATAGCTTCTCTCCAGAGCTGACATGTTGACTTTGAGCTGCGTTTTATCTCTCCTGCAACTCGGTTTAATTTAATACGGGGTTCTATTACTAATGTCTATCCAGAGTCCTCCAAAGATAATATTTATGGAAGTTGCTCCTTCTCTGGCTCTCCCCTGTTTCCAGCCTATAAAGGATAGGTCTCATTAACAGTAATATGTTTGGCAGTTTGAGATGGAGGGACAAACCTCTTGGCTTTTATGGCACCATGCTGATTTTAAAACAAGCCCTGTTTTCAAAGATACATCAAATTTATGGAAACGCTGGTGCCTTGCTTTGCTCGACTGAATCTGTTGCATGTCAACTTTCACTGTTTTGTGTTAGCAGGATATTTGCTTTTTTTTTTTTTTAGATAAAAAAAGAAAATCTCCTACGTTCCTCTTGTCATCTTGACTCTTATTTGCCTTTTTTTTCGCTTTTGCTTTTTTATTTTGCAGCCTGTGAACTCATGAATCACGGGATCCTGGCTCTGGTCAGCTCCATTGGTTGTACATCGGCTGGTTCCCTCCAATCTCTGGCAGATGCCATGCACATTCCTCACCTCTTCATCCAGAGGTCAACAGCTGGGACCCCAAGGAGTGGCTGTGGCACTACCAGGAGTAACCGGAATGACGATTACACCCTCTTTGTCCGCCCACCTGTCTACATCAATGATGTCATCTTGAGAGTGGTCACCGAATACGCCTGGCAGAAATTTATTATTTTCTATGACAATGAATATGGTGAGTGTTTACTGTTTCTGGTCTCTACATAAAGGGTAAATTTGCTGTTGTCCAATGGAGGTAATGCTATTAAGTGCAATAGCATTAAAAGCTTTGAATTTTTCCTCTAGATTACCTTCTTCTCTAAGCATTCGGTGACAGCGTTAACATTTCGTGTAATCTTTAGTCTTTAAAAAGAAACAAAAGTTTTATAAAAAAAACCCTACATCGACTTTTGGTGCATTTGCTTGATCGTTCCTTTGAAAAATGCTCAGCTAAATAATTACAGATTTTTTTTTTAAGAGCAACACTGATGAGCTCACTTGAGCCCCTTCTATTCTATGCAAGACAAAAGACATGTGGAGGCTGTTCTTTTCTCTCTCTTTTTTAATTCAACATTAAAAGGACGGTTGTGAAGTTGATATAACTGATGCAAGATTGCCTTTGACTTACCTTGCACCTTGCCAACTTCTATGAAATGATGTTGGATGATGAAGAAATGGAAAAGAGTGTTTTAGAACACCACATGTATTATGCATATGTATCTCATATAGAACTTGAAAGGCAAGAACTTAAAACAATAATGAAAGTTGGAAGAAAATGATTGCATGATATGAATTTTAAACTCCTTTTTTTTGTGTGTGTGTTCTTGGTCTCCCTCACTGCTTATGCCATTTTAGAATAGAATACAATAACAGAGTTGGAAGGGACCTTGGAGGTCTTCTAGTCCAACCCCCTGCTTAGGCAGGATACCCTACACCACTTCAGACAAATGGTTATCCAACATCTTCTTTAAAACTTCCAGTGTTGGAGCATTCACAACTTCTGGAGGCAAGTTGTTCCACTGATTAATTGTTCTAACTGTCAGGAAATTTCTCCTTAGTTCTAAGTTGCTTCTCTCCTTGATTAGTTTTCACCCATTGCTTCTTGTCCTACCTTCAGATGCTTTGGAGAATAGCTTGACTCCCTCTTCCTTGTGGCAGCCCCTGAGATATTGGAACGCTACTATCATGTCTCCCCTAGTCCTTCTTTTCATTAAGCTACACATACCCAGTTCCTGCAACCGTTCCTCATATGTTTTAGCCTCCAGTCCCCTAATCATCTTTGTTGCTCTTCTCTGCACTCTTTCTAGAGTGTCCACATCTTTTTTACATCGTGGCGACCAAAACTGAATGCAGTATTCCAAGTGTGGCCTTACCAAGGCATTATAAAGTGGTATTAACACTTCACATGATCTTGATTCTATCCCTCTGTTTATGCAGCCTAGAACTGTGCTGACATTTTGACATAAGCATTTTCATAGTGTCATAGCACTATCAACATTTACATCACATCAGTCAGTGTTGCTTTTCTCATTCTCTTTGGTATATAATTTGGGCTGCCTTTTTTTATTTTTTTGTTCAATTCCTTGATTTTATATCCTTTCTCATATTAAATATGCCTTCTAATTTACCCTACAACAACACAGAACCCGGAGATAGAAACCTAAGAGGTATTTTATCAGCCCAACATCAGACACTGAGCTTGCATGATTGAGAATAACCTTGAATCTCAGTTTCTCTAACCACTACACAACATTGATATTCTGGAATACAAGATGTTGTATATACTGTGCACACTTGGTATACTCCAAATTGTAAATGCTAGAATGTCTTCAGAAAGAATTCCATGGAGGAGCACTATGCTGTTTGTTTACTTATTTATTTGTTTATTTATTATTCCTGTGTGCATACCTTCAAGTCAGTCTTGATTCCTGTAACTACATGAACTACATCAGGGGTGTCAAACTCGTGTCCTGCGGGCTGGATGCATCATGCGCTGGCTATTCCCACGCCCGGTTTAGCGAAGGGGGAAAAGTTGTGATATGTCACATGACAACACCATGACGATATGAATTTGACATCCCTGTACTACATGATTCCTAGCAACATTTTTTTAGAAGTAGTTGGCCATTGCTACTCTGCCAGTGCTAATGGAGAAAATAAAATGTCATAATACCATCTCATTATAGAATTTCTTCATGCCTTACCTGCAGAAATCTCCAATTTACAGCAATGTAGGGTGGTGACTTCCTTTTTAGTTTAGATTGTAAATTACATCATTATCAGTGCTGAGTTGTCAGTGCTGGATACAATAGTAAGCAGGGTATATACAGTATTTTTGTGTAACTTCAGTACAAATAATGATTTAAAAAAAAAACCCCATAAAAGTCGGAAGGTAGCAGGGATGCTATTCAGGGCATTTGCAAGAATGAGTGTTGCACTCCAGATGGTGCCAAGATGCAGCTCTTGTTATCTGTATAATAGATAGGCAGGTATAAAGCACATTGAGAGTTCAACCACAATTGAGGTACTATGGTTTACCTATCCTTGAATTGCGCCCAGTCTAACAAATATGGCTGGAATGAGCTTTCTGTGGAATGAATCTCTGTCCTTTAAAGAGCAGTTCATTCCCTTGAGACCAAAGTAGCTTTGGGTACCTAATATTGAAAAAGCAGGCTTTAAGCTAGGCTAGACATGAGCCCAGAAAATGTAAGCTCATGTGGAGGTTATATGACATGATCCTCTATTTGAGATACAAAGTGTATCATTGGGTTGGTTTATTTTATTGATTTATTAATTTATTGATTTTGCTTTATTCAATATTATTTTGAGCTGCCTATAATTATCTTGTGTAAAATAGGCAACCATATACGTTTTTTAGGCAAATAATTAGAATTGTGGTTCTGTACAGAAGCAGCAATTCTATAGTATAGAATTCCATAGAGTACAACTGTCCTTGACCATATCTGCTGTCTAAGGTTACTGTACTATAGTAATAATGTCAGTTGACATCAAATGATTCCCAGAAATGTTTCAAAAAGGAATCCAAGCAGAGGGCATCAAACTGTTTTTTTCTTCTTCTGAGTGTTGTATTTTTGCAGCTACCTATCTTTGAGGTAGCCAAGTCAAGGCTGCATGGATTCACCTCACAAGTTGCGGTGAAGAGGTGAAGCGATTTTTCTCAATGAGTGGTTTTCATCGCCTGAAAGCATCAAACAGGCAGTGCCAAGAGGTGTTTGTTGTTGTTTTTTCCTGGCACTTAAAGCAAGCCAAACCTGTCAAAAGGAACTTCTGTTCGGGCGCAAATCACATTCAGAACTCTTTGCCAGATCTGAAAATGCCAACGGAGGCCTCAGATGTGAGACAAAGCAAAGTATGTGGCCCATTTCATTATTAGACCATAAGCTGATCAAACTGTATATTTTTTCTAACTGTTCTCTTCTTTTACTGTGACAAAGCTTTCATGTAGCTAGTGAGTTCATATTTTGGTCTGAATTAACGGGAAGCCTAATTGTTGCTTTACTGTTTCTGCTAAGAATCCTGAGATAGGGAGCCCATCAAGTTACCGAGATGTGTTCATAGATTGCTTGACAATCTGGAAGGATATGGTAAGGTGCTGATCTATCCGTTCCATATGTTTTGCTGCTTTGACTTTTGGGTATTCAGTTAGATGTGGTATGTGATGTAGCAGCACTGTAATTATTTCTGAGTTTTGATCTGATCAAGCTCGTTTTGGCTTGTTCGGTGTGAAGAGAGTTGTGATATTAAAGGAAATCATGATTTCATTCTCGGGTTAGGTTTTTTTTTCCCCCCTGATGTAATTATAATGTTGAGCTGCTGAAGTATTCACAGCCACCTATTAGTATCCAGATTTCTTGACCATATTTCTTGGATTGGTTACATGTAGAAGTCTCTGGTATCATTATAATACATTGGGAAAGGATGTCAGGCTTATGTATTTTTGGAATTCATAGAGACATGGGAGGGTAGGAACATTGCTTTTGATCTTCTGTTACTCTCATCTTCTGATTTGTACTGGGAGTGTACCTGACTTCATTGTCTATTTTTTTTAATAGGGTTAATGATCACTGGAACACAGTTTTCCTGTTAAACAATTATTTTTTGCATTTGTAGTATATTATGCTTTGTCTGTTATGAGTGTGGTGAGCCATTGCATACTTCAAGGCAGGAAGGACTACCCTTCATTCAAAGATGAATTCATTGCCATGTAAACACAACTAACAGGAGCATAGATCTAAGAGCAATAGCAATAGCACTTAGACATATACCGCTTTACAATGCTTTACAACCCTCTCCAAGCGGTTTACAGAGTTAGCATATTGCCCCCAACAATCTGGGTCCTCATTTTACCCACCTCAGAAGGATGGAAAGCTAAGTCCACCTTGAGCCTGGTGAGATTTGAACTGCCAAATTGCAGGCAGCCAGCAGGCAGCAGAAGTAGCCTGCAGTACTACATTCTAACCACTGCGCCACAATGGCTCCTAATACATAAGTGATTGTATTCACAGCTCCAGGGATCTTGTCTACTTCCTTGTGTTTTATAGACTCTAACTCTTCCCAGATAACAATCCAGACCATGCCTCAATCACTTCAACAGGGCCTGTATAGTCAAAGTCCAAAGTCCATCTCTGGACAAATACACACAATTTTATCATTGAATGGCTAAATTAACCTTCACTATCCTTAAGATGTTCCATGAACTCTTTCTTCCCTGTTGTGGCCCATCAGCATCCAGCAGAGCTGCTGATGGGCCAGCAGATTTGGACAGTGAGGAACATGGGCCAATCCTGGAGTCTGAGGAAGGCTCGGACGAGGGCTCTGAGTTGGAGGCAGAGAGGGGGCCAAGGCCATCTGGTAGTTCTTTACTGCCTCCAGAGCTTCTGGAGCCTGACATCAGTGAGTCAGAAGAACAGCGGGAGCCTGTTCCCAGTGTGCCATGCACAGATCTGCCAGAAGACAAGCACAAATAAGAAAATAGGGTCGACTTGGGAGTAAGGCTTGGAGATGATTGGCCCCTCCCATAAAATATAAAAGAGGAGCAAACGGGACATGAGCTTTTTCAGGAAGAAAAAGTTTGGTCGGTTTGGAAAGTTCTGTTTGACTCTGTGTTAAGTTTGGCCTTGCCCTGCATTTGGCAATTAGTTTTCTGGAAGCATTCGAAGGGAGATAAGGTGGGTG